CACACACACATATCAGTGCAGGACAAACACACACATCAATTCTGTATCACAATAACAAACACACTCATACATCAGTGAAGTAAAACACACAACATCTTACATCAATGCTTGACACACACAATCACACATCAGTGCAGTAAAACACACACACGCACACACACAACATCATACATCAGGGCAGCAACACACACAATCATACATCAGTAAAACACACACATCACACAAAATCATACACCAGTGCAGGGCAGCAACAAACATACACACACACACACACACATCACAGCATACGCACACAATCATACATCAGTAAAACACACACATCACACAAAATCATACACCAGTGCAGGGCAGCAACAAACATACACACACACACACACAATCATACATCAGTAAAACACACATCACGCATCAGTGCATGACAGAAACGCACACATCAGGGCAGTAAAACACACACACAACTCACAAAATCATACATCAGTACAAGACAGAAACACACACACTGACAACACACAAACACATTACAGTATACAAACACACACACAATCACACATCAGTAGTGTAGGGCAATAACACACACATGCACGCACACATCAGTAGTTTTGGACAGAAACACACACATACATCAGTTCAGGAATACACACAGAAACACACACATACATCAGTGCAGGAATACACACACACACACACACATCAGTAGTTTTGGACAGAAACACACATACATCAGTGCAGGAATACACACACACACACACACACACATCAGTAGTTTTGAACAGAAACACACACATACATCAGTGCAGGAATACACAAACACACACACACACACACATCAGTAGTTTTGGACAGAAACACACACATACATTAGTGCAGGAATACACACACACACACACACACACACACACACACACATCAGTAGTTTTGGACAGAAACACACACATACATCAGTGCAGGAATACACACACACACACACATCAGTAGTTTTGGACAGAAACACACACATACGTTAGTGCAGGAATACACACACACACACACACACACACACACACACACACACACACATCAGTAGTTTTGGACAGAAACACACAAACATATATCAGTGCTAGACAAACACCAGGTGGTGCAGTGGGTAGTGCTGTCGCCTCACAGCAAGAAGGTCGCTGGTTTGAGTCCTGGCTTGCTTAGTGTTTCAGTGTGGAGTTTGCATGTTCTCCCCGTGTTGGTGTGGGTTTCCTCCGGGTGCTCCGGTTTCCCCCACAGTCCAAACACATGCGCTATAGGGGAACTGATCAACTACACTGGCTGTAGTGTATGAGTGTGTGTGAGAATAAGTGTGTATGGGCGTTTCCCAGTACCTCATTGCAGCTGAAAGGGCATCCGCTGTGTAAAATGTGCTGATAAGTTGGCGGTTCATTCTGGTGTGGCGACCCCAGATTAATAAAGGGACTATATATATATATATATATATATAATATGTAAGGAAAGTTTTAGCGATTTGTTTCTACATTCTCAAGTTGTCGGCATTGCTGTTGTTTAAAGATTTTAAAGTAGTTATTAGTAGACCAACGTTGTACAAACACACTTTACACACCATTACGAATCTGACCGTGAAAGTAAAATGTGCACGCTACTAAAGCAGAGCCTCTGTATTTTGGTTTACGTACAGTATGTTGCCCCTTGTGTCTGTTAGATGAATTGCAGCAGTCGTTTTCATCTGAAACAACCAGTTAAACAAAATACCCACAATTACAATTTAAATTAAATTGAACACACACACACACACATCGCTCTAGATCAGTGTAAATGTGTTCCCTCACCTGTCGGAGTGTGTTCCTGTAGTAAATGTGTGTGTTATGTGTGTTTCCAGCTGCTGACGAGGTAAAGGATGTGTTCGGCAACGCCAGAAACGGACAATACAGACTGCTGAAGATCGTCATCGAAAACGGTACAGTCATTACTATACCACCGACAGACACGTCATGCATAACGATTTACTGAATAATACATAAACAATACTCGATAATAAAGAATAATCGTCTACGAAAATATGCTAATTAGCATTTAATCGCGGCAGTGTTGAGAATAAGCCTATGATTATAAATAGGTGAAACTAAGCTTTTTAAAACTTCGTAACAACTAAACTGATTGTGTTGCCGAATGATTCACTGTTTCGAAGTGTTTGAATCTCCACACGCTGGTGACACCTGCTGGTCAAAACTGTAAAAACAACACAAATAAAAAAAAAAGTAGAAGCAATCAAATGCACTCAGCAGAATTCACTTTACAGAATTCAACGCCCAACATGGTCATCGAAGACAGATCTTTACTATACAACAGACAAAAACATCATGCATAATGCTTCTGATATACTGAATAATACATGACAAGTAATATAATAAACAATACTCAATAATAAACATTAACCGTCTACGATATTATGCTAATTGATGTTATATCGTTTTGCTATTGCAGCTGGAATAAGCCTATAATAGGCAAAACGAAGTGGTTTAAAACTTCGTAACAACTGAACTGATTGTGTTGCCGAATGATTCGCTGTTTCGAAGTGTTTGAATCTCCACACGCTGGCGACACCTGCTGGTCAAAACTGTAAAAACAACACAAATAAAAAAAAAGTAGAAGCAATCAAATGCACTCAGCTTATCATCTAATATAATGAAATATCATGTGCCTATATATTATTACTTTACTAACTATAAATATTGATAGCTTTTAGTTTTACAGATGTCTTATTAAACGTCTACAAACTCATAAAACTGATCCGAGAGCAGGTAAAAACTATGAAACCTGTTCAGTGATTCGCCACTAATGACGTAACGGAGCTTCGTTTACTGAAATCATGTGACCTGGCAATATGATAGATGATCTGAACCACTGATTCAAACAAAAAAAAAAAGATTTGAAAAAAGATTGGTAAAGGTTTCGAATCTTCATGAAGCACTGATTCAGAAGCAGCCGTCACTAGCTGTTAGATAATAACACGCGTCTTTTCATCAGATATGTAATGTCACAGCAGCAGTACCTGTGAAGGAATCCTCCAGCACAGGTGACTTTATTCAGACGTTACCACTGACATCATCAGAGGCGGAGCAGGAGATCTGAGCGACTCTTCGCGTTTCCTTCCTGAATGATTCTGTTTCTGAATGAGTCGTTTGAGTCGTGGTTCAGTTGTGGTGTTGTTGGTTGTCGTGGTTACAGAGGAGCTGGTGTTAGGCCTCACCAAGCCGGCGAGCCGCAGCTGGGAGGAGGATTATGACGCTCTTCTACTTCCTGTGCTGGAGCAGGATCTGCCGTGCTACATCCTGTTCCGCCTGGACTCCAGCAACAGCCTGGGCCACGAGTGGATCTTCATCGCCTGGTCACCTGACCACTCACCTGTAAGAGACACACACACAATCACACACACTCACATGACCACTCACCTGTAAGAGACACACACACAACTGACCACTCAACTGCAAGAGAGACAAACAATCATACACACTCACATGACCACTCACCTGTACGACACACACACACACACACACACACACACACACACACACACAATCATACATGCACCTGACCACTCAACTTTAAGACAAACACACCAGACCACTCACCTGTCAGAGATACACACACACACACACACACTCTCACACTCTCAACTGTAAGACATACACACACCAGATCATTCACCTGTGAGACACACAAACTCTCACACCTGACCACTCACCTGTAAGACAAACACACTCATACAATATATCCATAAGAGAAACATACACACACACACACACACACACCTGTCCATTAAACAGACACATTCGTGCGTGCACAAACACACACACAGCCCCCAGACACACATCTGACCATTTACCTGAGGCACACACACACAAACAGAGAGACAGACAGACAGACAGACAGACAAACAAAGATTCAGCTGTTTCTGAGTTTAAGAAACACACACACACACACATAT